TATATATGTTCTCTCTCTCTCTCTCTCTCTCTCTCTCTCTCTCTCTCTCTCTCTTCAATCTCAAAAATCCCGAGTATCCAAGTTCTTCTGATTCGCCCTATATACTAATGGGTAGTCCTATATCGATCCGCTGTGTAACATCACTTTACCTGGTTAACCTCGCGACGAATCATCGTCCACTGTCTTGATACTTGGGATTAGATTTGTTCCTCTCAGTTACATCGTATTATGCTTTTCGCGCACAAAATACGTTTTCAGATTGAAGAAATATACACTTGGAAACAAAAAAAGAGAAATAGAAAAGCAAGAAAATGTCGAGGCTGTGGAGACGAAAGAAAGAGCCTTATTGTAATAATAAACTTTAATTGTTTATTAAGTTTTATTTATTTCTTCTTTACTTTATATTTAGATTTATTTAAATTTATAGGGATAAAAGGAAAAATTGAGTAATCTGATCGTAAATTACGCATATAGGTCTTTCTTCTAGATATCGATTGGTACATGTCTCTATATCAGTACTCGAATAAATTATGATAAATTATGTCAATATAAATATTTGTGTAATGAAAAAAAGATACAGATACGAGTTGGAGAATGAGTCAAGGCATGTCGATGATGCAATGAAAAATCCATCATCATCGTAAATAGTTATGATACCGTGATCGCATCGTATGCAAAATTGAACTTGGATCTAGTAAACTCAAGTGATCCAATGTGATTGAATAATCGCGATTACCATTTAAAATCGAGATAATATTGAAACAATAATGAAACAATAATATTTACTCCATATCAGGACAATGTAATCGAAGCGAATCAAACAATTGTCATTCATTATCTTGCAACATACAAGTTTATGATTCTTTTTAGATACGGATATAATTTTTTTTAAAAATTCAAACTCGTGCTAAATATATTTTCTTTATCCTTTTTCTGTATATATTCTCGTTACGTTATCAGTCACACATGTTATATTGAATCATAGAATCGTAGAATATTTATGTTATTACATGTTGAAAGAATCTTAATTGGCATTTGATGTTGCAAATATTTGGTTAATAATGACAACAACAACAACAACAACAACAACAACAATGATGATGATGTTGGATTTTTTTTGTCAGAAGCAATATGGCGATTACTTTTGCTTCAACTGTAGATAGCGCGATGACGCACATCTAAAAATAGCTCCGAGAAATATTTCATTCACACGATATACACGCATAAAAACACAAATTTGAAATCCATATTCTTATCTTTAAAAAGATCTCCTTTCTTATCTCATTCGACCATCATAATTGTGGAAATCAGCTGACGGTGAACAAATATATATCGTTCTTTAAGATTCATCAAATAGATAAATAAAATAATATTATGAGCAAATGTCAAGCATATTCACAACAGGAAATTTTCATTTACGTTATTTACGCAGAATATTTTTAATATTTTTAATATTTTTGTTTTTATCTATATACAATGAATACATCACATATGAAATAATACACATTCCGTATAATGTTCAAAAATTCTAAAATTCTAAAAGCTGCAGATTTGGAGATTTAAACACAAACCTCTGCATATATGAAAATTGATCAAGTATTATAAAAATATCATCGATAAGCATGATGTTGCATCATCAAAAATTTCAAAAATAAATTTTTCAAACTTTCGAGATTTTTCGCGATTTATAAAAAAGAAAGAGGGAGAATTTGTACAGCGTATACTCTTTTTATTGTTTTGTCATTCATTTACATACAAATATTTTCAAGATACGTCTTACGAAACGAAGTAGTAACCATATTCGGTGCTCGCTGTAGTTTGCGCGCTCGCTACAATTAAAAGAACGTATCTTTCGATACAAAATAGTTTTGTCGCTCTCCATCTCATTCACTTAAAATATTACGTTAACTTTGCGGCGTCCTTGAGCTCGTTTCGTCCACTTTCAGAAAAGTGTAAACCGTTCGCAACTTCGGTGCTCACGCGTCATTACAGCTCATGATTTGACTCGCATTTGTACGAAATATGAATTATATGAACAATCAAAAGCAAAAACGGCAAGACAAAGGAATAGAGAAATAGAGAAATAGAGAATAGAGGAATACAAGAATATTTAGACCCAAATTCAAATGATCGAATGAAAATGATCGAAAAAAAAAAAGACGTGCGACAAAATTGAAATGATAAACGAGGAGATCTATACCACCAGATCTCTTAGCACCGAATAAGATCGATGTAGATGACACGTAGATGATCAACAAGAATTAACGAGCATACATACGACATGTATACTCGTAGACCGGCCTTACGATTGGATCACACAAAGAGAATTCAATAAAATTTCTTTGTGAAAAAACGCGCTGATTTTATACAGCAACGAGCTGCTCTCGCTCTCTCGGCCGTAAGCTCCGAATCTTAACACACACACACACACACACACACACACACACACACACACACACACACACACACACACACACGC